GCGGACGCAGGATGGCGGCGCTGCGGGGCGACGGCTTCGCCAGGCTTCGGCCCCCACGGGCGCAGCGGACCCCAGGGAGGAAAGACAAAGACACGCCGGTTAGCAACGAGCGGGAACCGCGCGGCCCGGGACCGAGGCGCCGCGTCCCCCGCACCCACCAGGTAAAGCTGCGTGCAGGAGCCCGGCACCCACCGCACCCCGCGACGGGGAAGGGATGCAGTCACCAAACCCTGGTGTGAGCTTGACCCAGAAATTCTTTTTTAAATGGACCCCTCAAAGAATAGCTATAAATGCAAATACAGTTATAAAAAGTGTTCAGTGCAACATCTGTAATAGAAAAGGGAGGAAGGAAACCTGGAAATTTTTCATATCCAACAATCAAGTATTATAATCTTATACTGCGAACTAACTTGCTCATAAAATAATGCTGTGAGATAATACCTAACAATACGAGAAAGTAGTCAGTGAAGAAATCCATTTCATTGACATTTGTAGAGCTGGGCATATGTACTTGTGTATTCAGTCAACACAAATTCATAAACTGATGAAGAAAAGCCACAATAGTGTGTTGTTCTCTCCAAGTAGTAGACTGCAGGTGGTTTTTATTTTCATTTTATTGGTGACTTCCAAAATTATACAATAAGTATATTTCACGTTTAAAATAAAAATTAATGATTTTTAAATTTTATCCCACTTATGATTATTGAGGACAGCAAAGTGGTAGGTATAAAGAGATTTTAAAGACTGGATTCATGGAGATCACTTCACTTCTCCCTAAGCTCTGTATTAATCACAGTATTACAGGGTAGTTTATCCTTTAAACTTTCAGCAGTTAATCAAAACCATGCTCTTTTATAGACTTACACCTTATTTTATTCTAGTCATTTCTTGTTGGGAAAAAAAAGTTTCCTAGGCTTTTCACAGGCTAATTTCAACTTGTAATTTCCTCAGACTTCAGAACATGATATGCCGAAAACAGAAAAATGTGTCATACTTTTGGAACAAACGTTTTAGGTAATACCAGTGTTTTGGTTTCAGTAATGTTCCCTGTATCTGAAAGCATTCAGTCGGAGAAAAAGTAAAATATTACATGAACTACTAGCTATCATCCTTCGGGGAATCTGTCTTTCTACGACAGGAATAATAGATGCGTGCCAGGGCTTTGCTATTAGAAAATCCATTATAACATGAGCGTCAGAACTACTTCAAACTAAAGCGGCCTCAGCGTTGTCAGATGAGTTTATGCGGTTTTAAGCAAATCAAAGGTTAGGTGTTTATGGGAATGCGCTTTGTTGCTTAAGTTGATGACATAATTAATCATACCTCCTCTGCAAGTTTCCTGCCTCGGAAGGCTTTGGATAGAATTATCATGCCCAGAGGCACAACTTAAAAAAAAAAATCACATACCAGAAATAAAACTTACAAAGAGAACAAATCCTAAAATGCCAAACATGGGTGTTAACTAACTTCCTGAGCAAAAGGAAGGCTGTAAGAACTTTTGAAGAAAGCATTAGCTCTTAAAAATTTAATTAATTTCCCATCACCAAATGATTTAAAGTTAGTTATTTTTTAATTTTAAAAAATTATTTACTTTGTGTATGTATTCTAGGGCATGCGAAGGTCCAATAACAACTCCTGGGGGTTGGTTCTTTACTGCCACCAGTGGGTTCCAAAGATGGAAGTCAGGTTGTCAGGCTTGGTAGCAAGCACCTTTATCCACTGAGCTATCTCTCCAGCCCTGATTTCAATTTAATTTAACGTTTTGGAATGGGTATTATGTCTCAGGAGCTTTTCTAAGACAATAACAACAAATAAATAAATATAGTTAGGTTCCTATTTTTATGAGGATTACCTAGAAAACTAGTTTCCCGTTATTAGGATGCGTCAGATGCCAAGGCTAACCTGAATCCCTACATCGCTCTGCAGACCTGTCAAGGCTTTTCTTCTCATATTCTCCAGATGGGCCTTCTCATTTCCTGCCATTCATTCCTTTGCTCAGATTCATGACAGCATCCCACTGTCTCCACACTAGGTGAATCAATAGCTGTTAACCTTTGAGAGAGCCAAAGATCAGTCTCAGGCTCTGCCTAAAAATGTCATCCTGCAGCAGCTTGAACAGGAACGCCCTAGAGACGGACTTCCTGAACGCAAATGTTTGAGAACAGCTGCTTCCCTCGCAAGGCTACTTTTCGGGGAGCGTCCTGCAGCGGGAGTGGGGGGCTCCTGTAACGGGAAAGGTTTTAACTCATCAGCATTAAGTCCTGATGAGATCTGTTTTACTAGGTAAATCTGTGATGTGGCCTGTACTACAGCGAAATGTCCTTCATCTTCACAGTCAACTGAGTACTAAAAACCTTGACTCACCAAGGTATATAAAGCCCAAAGAGGATTTCAGTGTTCTTGCCAAAATAACTTAGTCTGTATAAATGGGACAACCAAATTTCTCCAAGATTCTTGTTAGAATGAACACACATTATATCCTCTCCCATCAAATTCGAACAAGTGCTCTGCTAAGTCAGAAAATGTGTGGTACAGAGAAAATATACTCTGTTCCTGTTCCTTGGCTGCTGCTGAACAATAATGTCTGTCAGTCCTTGGCTCGGCAACCTGGAAAGCCATGCTGTGTGCCTGGCATCACAGGTGTGCCATCTGACCTTCCCCTCTGCGTCTGTGCCTTTTCCTTCCATTGTAGTATTCACTTCAGTGGGACTGAAAGCTAGAGCAATAGTGTTTGAGGATGCGGACAGTCTTCCGACTTCCACAGTTCTGAATGAATGCATTTGCTGATCCTAAAACAGACACGGAAACAACATGGATGCACTGAGCAGCATCAAGTTCCTCTCCGTTAAATGCTAAAGAAGGTCAGCACCGCTGTCTGCCTTTTCCACGGTATGTGAAAAACATACATCAGTTTTCTGTTATGAACCATTTTTTTAGAAAATTTGAGTCCAAATATTTTATTCTTATTCCCTTAAAAACGTTTCCCATTTGTGTGCTCATCTTGTCACTTAACTCATTAAGAGGGGGCTTCTCCTACTATCCAGGTTCTCATTTTCTCTCTCCCTCCTACCCCTTCTCTCTCTCTCTCTCTCTCTCTCTCTCTCTCTCTCTCTCTCTCTCTCACACACACACACACACACACACACACACACACACACACACAAAGTTTTCTGAGTGCTGTAGTCTGAAATGATCAGTTCCTCTTCCAATCTCTGACTGTTCCTTAATTCTTGCTGTGAGACCATTACCACAGTGGTCTGTATTTTCACAACACTAGGGCAGTCTATGATTACCATTTCCCACTCTTATTTTGCTTCTCTTAAAAAAAAAGTCCATCCTCCAGATGGGTAGAGCAGGACACTAACACCATTTACTGTTGATAGGGTGACTGGCTGGCTCATCTGAATCGTCTTTCCTGTATTCACATTCATACAAAAGGTTTTTGATTTGTCCACTGTATGTGTGCCAGATCAGCAATGTCACTGTTGTCTGCTGAATTAACCAACATTCTATCTCTACCCTTAGATTTTCAATCATTATCTCCCAACACTATGGCCAACGCCCTACATTAAGACACTGCCTCCATCTTAAAAATAATTCTCGACTATGTAAGAATTAAATCAGAGCCTGAAATGAAAATGAGTGCGATTAGATGGAAGAAGTCATAACCAGCATCTACTCAAATAAAACACAAAATCAATTATGAAGCCAAGCAATAACGTTAAGATCACATGTCCCAACAAATTAGTATTATAGATGGAAGAAGCATGGGTAATATAGTATTTGGGTATAAGAAACTAAAGTTTTAAAGTAATAAATATCCTAAGTACAAAATAGTTGTAAAATAATGCAGAGTGAAATGATATTGCCCTAAATGGTTTAGGAACATTAAACCTAAATTAGGTTTAGCCAACAGTAAGGAAGCAAATGAAAAGAAAAAATTGGAAAAATGAAAATAATTAGAATTGTTTGATTGAAATCCCTGCTCCCCCTTGCACAAACTAGGAAACCCCGTCTGCCCTACTTTCCCCAACCCTGCCCATGCAGAGAAAACTCTGACCAAAAGAATGGCACCCAAGTGCCGGCCCAGGGACCAAGCTCTTGACCATACTTGGACATGTCCCAGCTCCTAGCTGGCATGTCATCACCCCGCCCTAAGATCTATAAACCTCCCTGCCTTAGCTTGGGCATGTGACTTCTCTGGGACTGGTGAACCTGCCCAGGAGCCACGCCCAATAAGCCTGCATATATCAGTTTTTAATCTAGTCTGATCTAGCCTTTTGCACTGGCAGAAACATATCAAAGATATATAAGATAAAATAAAATAGCTATCTAATAAAGTGAGGTAGACCCCAAAGCACTTGTGCTGACTAATAGTGACCATTCACCTGCTGCGTGCCAGGCACTAAACTACGCTAATATACATTATCTCAAATTGTTTTTATTGAAGTCAGTTTTATAAAACTATAGCTTTAGAAATGTGCTTGAGAAAATAATCATTACCTCCTTAAGTAAAGAAATCAGGAAAGCAAAAAAATTGTCAATGTGCATGGCCTAATATGAGAGGACACCAAAAAATTAAACTGTCTGGTTTGAGTAGCAACTGTGTTCCTAAGAGAAAGATGTCACACTAAGCTGGCTCAATGCTTATCAAGAGACTAAGCTTACACTAGCAAAGGAGAAGCATAAACACCAACCAGCCTCAAACGTTTTGATCTACAACAGTGTCCTGCCTGCAAGATGTGCTAAGTGCACTGGTGGCACAAAGCTTATGGGAAGGAGTTAACTAAACAATACCTGATTTGACATAAAGCCCACTCCATGAGATGGAACCCATACCCCACACTGCTTCTGTGATTAAGAACCTGAGACTAGATAGCCTAGGGACCTAGGGTAAAAGAAAATACTACTGTACTAAAACAAACACAACAAAAATGTGTAGTACTAAAATGACTCCTACTGACATTCTGCTGTACTCCTAGATCAGTGCCTTGCTCATCCATCATCAGAGAAGCTTCCTCCTGCAGCAGATGGGAGCAAATACAGAGATACACAGCCAGACATTATGCAGAGAGTGAGACTCTGGGGCACTCAGCCCTAATGACATGTCCCCTTCAAATCTGTCCCCTCAGGACTCAGGAAACCCTGAGAAGAGTTGGAAAGAGTTTAAGAGCCAGAGGAGATGGAGGACACCAAGGAAACAGGTCCTCTAATCAATAGGATGGATGCACATGTGAGTTCACAGAGACATAGGCAGCATACACAGGGCCTGCATGGGTCAGGATGGATGTACATGTGAGTTCACAGAGACACAGGCAGCGTGCACAGGACCTGTATGGGTCTACACCAGATAGGGTCCTAGAACTGAAAAAAGTGGGCACATACACCATCCATAACCCAGAAACAATCTTCAACTGATAAAATTTAGTTTTCTTTAAGAAGTCTCACTGGGGAAACACATCACAGGGTAGGCTGCATACCCAGCAGTAGATGGCCAGCAAACCCAGTATCTTTGGGGGTTCCCTCAATGTCATGGCAGAGCTTTCTCTTTTTCAGTTTTATCTTTTCTTTCTTTTTTTTTTCTCAGCAGGCCTTCTGCATATATATTATGGCTTCCAGATTTGTGTTTTCTTGGGATTGAGTACGTAAATGAGTGGGTCTCTGTCTGTTTCTCGTGCCTTTTCTCTTTCTTCTCACCTATCCCACTGTGTTTGTTTTTATTTTTTTATTTATTCACTTATTTTGGTTTTTCAAGACAAGGTTTCTCTGTAGCTTTGGCGTCTGTCCTGGAACTAGCTCTTGTAGACCAGGCTGGCCTCGAACTCACAGAGATTCACCTGCCTCTGTCTCCTGAGTGCTGGAATTAAAGGCGTGCACCACCACCACCACCTGGCTCATGTTAGTTTTTATTTTATCTTAGTTTATTATATCTTGTTTTATTATTATCCCTTATAAGCCTGTTTGTTTTCCAGTAAGAAACAGAGAGGGGGTGGATCTGGATGGGAGAGGAGTTGGGCAGTGGGGGCAGGAGGACTGGGAGGAATAGAGGTAAGAGAAACCATAGTCACGATATATTATATGAAAAATCTGTTTTCAATAAAATAAAAATATAAAAAGTAAAAAAAGAAACTGATGATAATTTGCTTTCCCAATACTTCCGAGTGTAACTTGAAGAACTGGCACGGTGGCATCCGCACAGCAGGATCTGTGAGGCTGGGTGCAGTAACCTGGTAGCACCAGTCATTTCTTTAGATGAGCCAGAAAACAGCTGGCTCGTGGAGACTGAGTATAGACCCCAGCACCCGTGTACAAGTCAGGGCATCTAGAATGTCAGCCATGGATGTCTGGAAACAGAACAGCCCCGGGAGCTCACTAGCCAGCCAGCCCAGTCAATGATGAACTCAGGGAGTTCATTCATGGAGAAAGCAATGGACAAACAGTCAGTGCCAGCCTGCAGCCTGCACATATGCACACCCACATGAACATGTCCACACGACTACATACATGTGCCATCCACACACACAAACAGCTTGGTAGTTACAGCAGTGTTGCTTCTCACTGGTCCTAAGATTAACTGTTTGCACATTACCATACATATTTTTATATATATCTAAAAGCAAATTAATTTTCTGAAAAATTCCTACCATTTCCTTCTTAGATTTTTGCTTTGTTGTTTCTTTGTTTTATACTGGGGAGTGAACCAAGAGCTTCACTTATATTAAGCAAGTGCTCTATCACTAAGCTACATCCCCAGCCTTCTGCCATTTTTTTTCCTTTTTTAAATAGAAAAGTAAATATTCAAATTTCTATTTTTGGTAACTAGCAGTAATAACTGCTGTATAAATTTCTCTAAATATTTTAACATCAGCATGATTCATTATAAAATAAATCAACAACCATGATTTCTTTCTCTCTAAAAGAAATGTGAACAGTACATTACATTAAAACAAAGATGATTCAATAACATAGAAATAACTCATTATTTTAAAGTCTATTCAGGTGGGTTAGCAAAAACCAGTTGCCTAAGTGATACATAAGTGGAAAGTTCATGGACCAAAAAATAAATACCTGGAGTCTACATTTCCAGATATACTTTTGAACATGCCTTTTAAAAAAGATACCACAACTGTGAATGATGTGGTACCATTTGCGTTAGGATGATACATACATGTGTATGGTAGCATATACATGAGACAGCTCGTAAAAGCCCAAGACACTGGTAACTGCCTGCCTCTGGGAAGGGAGAAAAGAGAATGGATGTGGTAGAGAGAAAACTTATCTTCTCAGCACCCTTCCTGCGGTGTGCTCTTTGAGATAGACACATGACCTAACAAACCAAGCCTTACAAGACGGCTTCTTTCTGTTCTTCGGTAACTACACGCAGCCTGGGCAATCAATTTTCTCCATTTTAAAGTGAAGTTACACTAAGTCTTTACATCTCCATCTACATTTCAACAGAATTATGGCTAAACAAGTGAACATAAAATGCCAGCTGGCAAAAGAAAGCCGTAAGCCTTACTTTGTGGCAGCTTACATCATGTAATTATTTACACTTCCGCCCGCAGTCTCCATGAAGGCCGTACAAACAGCAGAGTACTCAAGAGTCTGGAAGAAAATTCCGATTTGCAAACTTGACATTGTTTCTTCCTTCTCTATACCAAGTGCACATCTAAACTATGGCCTCCAATATACACGTCCCAACAAGTGAACAAATCGATGCACGTACAAAAAGGTAGACTTTATGATACCTTTAAAAATAAACCCTAAAGTAAGAAGATGCTGAAGCTCACCCTTTTATTTTCATACCCCAAAAATCTCCCCAAACCATTTATAATCTTCTTAAACCAAGACCATGAAGAAAGTCATAGAAGAGAGAGCTAGCAGAGACAGGTGTAAGGACAGAAGCAGGAAGAGCAGTGCATAAGGAAGGCACTGTGAAGAGACCAACACACAGCAGCTTCCATGCAAGGCAAGGAGAATGAGAACAGGCCTGGTGGGTATTCATTTATAACCATGTATACCATTGCCTTAACTGATGGATAGTCTTGGTCGCCAAGGGCTACCTTAATATGAATGCAGTATCACAAAGAATAGAAGTGAAACTAGGAAGGCAGCTGTGGGAAGTTCAGTGGAGGAAGACGTCTCTACAGAAGTGTGGGAGCAGCAAAGGGCTGGTGGCACCACAGACAGTGTGAGGCAGTCCCCAGCCGGAAGCTCTTCTGCTGTGACGCTGGAGACTGAAGCTGTAGTAAGGTGATGCCTCAGCTGCTCATGGCCTGCTTCTAAGTAGGAAGTTCATTAAAAGTGTTCAAAATTATTTCTTCAAATTTTCTTTAGAGAATGAACAGCCCCAACTAGGGGCTGAAGAAACAGCTCGGTGACTAAGAGCACTGCTGCCCTTCCAGAGGATGAGCGTGGGTCCCAGTGCTGCACACACTGAGCAGCTCACAGCCACCTGCATCCCCAGCTTGAGGCGATTCAACACCCATTACACAGCCTCTGCAGGTATATACATGTCTGTTTCATATAAGCACAGATAAATACAAATAAGATAATCTTTTTAAAGAAACTGACTGAGTAGGCTCAACTATAAGTCAGCATGTACCTAGATCCAGCTCTTTAGTAGGGCAGAACCCGAGGCATGAGGAAACTGAACTTACACAGAATGCCTGGCAGCCTTTCCCAGTGTTTTCTTGTAGGTACCTCATATTATTTCCTGTCATAACCTTCATACCCAGAAATCAGCTCCACCCAAACAGCACAAAACCAGGAAACCAAGAGGTGCCAGTTTTCCATTAAAATTATGCACTGGACCTGCTGAATGAAATAATTCTGGGTTTTTACTACATGAGAAAAGAAAGTCATCTAAATTAAAATGAAATAACTACAACAAATAAACCTATTTTTGTTACCTACTGATCTTAAAAAGGTAAAGAAAGAAACAAAGTATAAACAAAATACACAGTACACATGGATGGTGCTCACTGCTGGAGGGACAAAGAGCGGGTGTGCTGTTATGGATTACATACTGAAGTGTGCTGTTACTGATACACACTGAAGTGCGCTGTTACTGATTACACACTGAAGTGTGCTGTTACCGATTACACACTGATAAACCTTGCAAGAAATTTCCAACAAAATTTCTCTCTAGAATATTGGCATATAGGCAAGAAACAAACAACACATAAAAATGCCGTCAAACAACTGAGGTCAGGAATGTGCTCTGAGCTTCGACGCTATGGTTTTCGCTACACTCTGAACACCTAAGCGCACTACTACACTTATAACCATAGCATAATCACACTCCAGTGCTTTGCTGGAGTCGGGGTTGTATCGGGAAGCCTGCTTTGAGGGACAGGGTCAGTGTTCGCAAAAGTAAATGTGTAAAACTCTAGTAAAAGCTTAAAGCTCTAATACAGATCAGCGCTACAGCAGTCTGCTTTGTGCTGTTGATGGGGTATCGGGCCTTTATGTTAATATTCAGTGATTAATTCAAAGTTAAAACATAAAAGAAACCATTTTCAAGGCATTAGAACAGAAAATTATAAGCCCCCACCCCCATTTTTGTAGATCTTATCTTTACTCTGCCTTTTTAAAATTCCTATCTGTTAGCATTCTATTGTTAAGCTTAAGTTTTAGGGTCACAACTCATCCACAAAACTTACTCTACTGAAACTTCATACACACAGTCTCCTGGGAATCCTTCCCTTTAAAATCGGATGTTTACAGTAAGCCCCCCAAAGCGGAGAGCCCAGCAGGTGTCCTGTGTTAGATGAGGAGTCAGGACAGGAGCTGTGGCTTCTGAGAAGCCGTCCACTGTCCCTTCCTGAGGACCTGGGCCTAGGGTAAACAAGCTCCTCCACGTCTTGGGACAAAAATATCCATCTGAACTGTTGTACTGTTCAGATCCAAGATCAAGGCAAGTTTTATTGCTAGGTCCTCCCTTCAGAAAGGTAAAACAAGGAAAGCATAGTGAAGGCCAGAGCAATGGATAGGACAATGCATGCCCTGTGTTCTAACAGCTGAGAACTCATCAGCCCAAAGGATGCAGCTCTGAAAATAAAGCTTGCATATTTCAATCACTTGTTCAGTCTTAAATAGCATCTTTTTTCGCTTATACTCTGGCTATGGATACTAATTAATCATATGGATTTTACCCTACTTTAAAGTATGTACATATGGTGCATGTTGTACATGAACATGAGTGTGTAGGAGCATGTGCCAGGCACCAGCAGATGTCAGGTATCTTCCTCTGCTTTCACTGAACCAGAGGCCTGCAATTTCCGCGAGGTTGGCTAGCAGCTACTAGAGTCAATCCAGCTATCTCCACCTCACAATCCTGGGGCTACAGGTACAT